CGCCGCCGCCCTCTCGGGCAAAATTTCGGGCGCCGGCTGATAAGCAATACAAGTACCCCGAACCCTGTGGGAGGGGACCCAAGTCAGGAGGGCCAGAACATTGGGGACACGGGGTCCTCTCTGCAGATGTATCAGACCAATCCGCCGAAGGCCCGGGGGAGGAGGCCCGCCCCCCCTCGCTCCCCCCCCCCCCCCCAGGCGCGCCGCCGAACCCTGGTGTCCTTGCCTCCTCGGTCCGTGCTTCAGTTCACCTTCGATGGCCAGCCCCGCTCGAGGGGCTTCGATGGCGGCCTCCTCGCGCGCCCTCGCCATCCAGTTTTGGCCGTAGCCTCGGCCGCCAGGGGGAGGCCGCGCTGTCGGGCCCCATGGGGCTCGCCACACGAAGACGGGCCGCGAGGAGGAACGTGCCGTTGGCATGGGGTCGAGTCGGGGAAACATCGCGACCTCGTAGGTCCGGGAATGTCGGGGGCGGCCAAGAGGGGGGTAGTGACTACTGTGTGTGCGTTGACATCATGGCGGGGGCCATGATGTCGCCCCAGATCTCATGGCGCCTCTTCTTGTTTCGATGCGTCCCCTGGCCCCCCCCCCCTGGGCCGCGTACGTGCCCTGGGTCATGATCTGCGGACCCCCCTCTTGGACGCCCCCCTCTTGGACGTCCCCCCCCCGAGAATGGCGCCGTGACGACATGAGATCGGAGGTTGAGGGGTGAGATCGCAGTGGAACGGAGACCCCCAGCCGGGACATCGTTTCGTTTCGTTCGTGTTGTGCGTGCGGGCGAGGCGAAGCCGCGTGGGCGCGCGAGAGGAATGAACCCGCCGTTGCTAGGGCGAAGTCAAGACAACTGATTCTCCTCCGTCTGGCGGTGGCCCCGTGGTGTCCCGTGGTGTCCCGTGGTGTCCCGTTGAGTGAGATCGATAGTGAGATCGATAGTGAGATCGATATGTAGTGAGATCGATTGTGAGATCTACAGTGAGATCGATAGTGAGATCGATGTTGTGCCCCGAGGTGTCCCGTGGTGTCCCAAAAAGTAAGATCGATAGTGAGATGGATAGTGAGGTCGACAGGTGTCCCGTGGTGTCCCGTGGTGTCCCGTGGTGTCCCGTTGAGTGAGATCGATAGTGAGGTCGATAGTGAGATCGATAATGAGACCGATAACGAGATCGAGAGGTGTCCCGAGGTGTCCCGTGGTGTCCCGTGGTGGCCTGTGGTGTCCCGTGGTGTCCGGTTCAGTGAGATCGATAGTGAGATCGACAAGTGTCCCGTGGTGTCCCGTGGTGTCCTGTGGTGTCCCGTGGTGTCCCGTTGAATGAGATCGATAGTGATATCGATTGAGTCAGATGTTGGTTCCTCCTCTCTCCCCCCCACAACCTCCTTCTCACCCGAAGGTTGGTCGTATAGGTGTATGCTGGTTGCTTGCTGGACGTTCAGACCGCTATGCTCCCACGTGTGCTCTCCCAGGCCAACGTCCTCTGCATCAGCTTTGCTATTGCAGGTCTGCTCGTGTGGTGTTCCGGGTTGGCCACTTGCACTGTGGTCGTTGCCTCTTGGCATTTGGGAAGGGCGTCGAGCCGACATGAGATGTATCCTCTTCACCGTCTCCGCTGCGCGCCTCCGCTTCGTCCTTCGCCTCTTGCGCGCCAGGCGCTCGCGATGTGGCCACCGATGCAGCAAACGTTTCCCCAGCGGCCAGCGGGGGGCAGGGTTGACGAAGGCGGCACGTCAGAGGAGGACAAGGTACCGATACCGCTGCCCTTGCCTTCATGTTCGGCTTTTTGGACCTCCTGGGAGGCCCTCATCGCCACGGCTGGATTCGCCTCGAAGTCCTGGTCAGAGCGCACCCCTGGAGAGGTCCAAGGGAGCAGCGGCATCGGTAGTTGTTTGTCCCCGCAGCAGGGGGAACTGTGAGGACGACGCCAGTGACGACGGTGGCAGCGTTTTTTCGACGACAAGAGTTATTAGGTCGACGCCGTTCCTCGCCGTCGGCATGTTTTTTTTAGTTTTTTGTTTGTTTGTTTGTTTGTTTGTTTGTTTGTTTGTTTGTTTGTTTGTGTGTGTGTGTGTGTGTGTGTGTGTGTGGGGGGGGGGGGAAGGGGCCCTCGGTGCGCTCTCCGTCCCACGGTTGACCGAGCTGTCTTTGCTCTCCAGTGGCACGACTCCTGTGCCGCCTTTGCGCGTGAGGAACACTCGAGATCTGCTCGGTCGCGCACTGCGGCGTGCCGGCACAGTCAAATATCGCTCAGCACGGTTGATTTGGCGGTGCTGGCCGTGTCGCGAGGAACCAGGCCTCACTCGTTCGCTCGGTGATAGTGAGCTCGGGCGGCGCACTGAGTGAGCTCCGCGCGGATTCTATGCTGAGCATGTCGCCCTAGCCTGCTGAATTGTGCAGTTGCCGTGTAGAGTCACACAAGCAGGCTCCGCTAGGCATCCCGCCATCCTGCTTTAGCTGCACGTGTGTGCCTGTGTATGACCTCTTCCCACCCTTGCACGCTGGCCAGCTCGCTTCTCGGTGCCCCCGTTT